GAATGCAATGAAAAATGAAATAGAGAGCATCAGCAGCATAATTAATCAAGCAGAAGAAAGAATCTGTAGACTCAAGGACAGGTTATTTGAAAATATTTACTCAGAGAAGAAAAGGAAAAAAGATTGAAAAGGAACAAAGAAAGCTTATGGAATTTATGAGGCAGTATCTAAAGAGAAAATATTCAAGTTATAGGATTTTGTGAAGGAGAAGAGAAAGACAAAGTGCATAAAAAGCTTATTTTAAAAAGTTACAAAAAACTTTACAAATTTTGACAGAGATATAAATATCCAGGTACAGGAATGTCAAATGTCTCCAAATAGATTCAATCCAAACAAGACTAAACAAGACATATTATAATCAAACTGTCAAAAATCAAGGACAGAGAATCCAGAAAGCAGCAAAAGAATAGAAGAAAATAATATAAAAGGATCTCCGATAAGGATTACAGTGGATTTCTCAGCAGAGACCTTACAGGCCTGGAGAGAGTGGGATGATATATTCAAAGTGCTGAAGGAAAAAACAAAACTATCAACCTAGAATACTGTTTACCCAGCAAAGCTGCTCTTCAGAAATGAAGGGTGTACAAAGACTCTCAGACAAACAAAAGCCAAGGGAGTTCATCACCACCAGACCTATATTACAAGAAATGCTCAAGGGAATTCTTTAAGATGAAAGAAAAGGACATTGGCTAGTAAAACAAAAATGTATGAAAGTATAAAGCTCACAGGGTAAAAGTGAGTTTATACTCACTTTTAAATATAGCCAAATTTAAAGTGCTTTAATATTGTAATGTTGGTGTGTAAAAGAAGAGAATCCTGTCATTTGGGACAAGGAAAATGAATCTGGAGGATATTATGTTAAGAGAAATAAACCAGGTGTGGAAAGATAAATACCACATGATCTCACTTTGACACGGAATCTAAAAAAGTTGAACTCATAGGAAAAGAGAGTAGAATGGGGGTTACCAGTGGCTGGAGGTGGGGAAGGGAAGCACTGAGGAGATGCTGCTCAAAGGACACAAAATTTCAGTTAGATAGACAGAATAAGTTCAAGAGACCTATTTTACAATATAGTGATTATAGTTAAACACAATGTATTGTATGATTGAAAATTGCTAAGAGAGTAGATTTTGGGTGTTCTTACCACAAAAAAATATAAGTACACGAAACAGTTCTTATGTTATTTGGTTATATTTAGCCATTCTACAGCATATACATGTTTCAAAACATGTTTTACACAAAAAATATATAATTTTTATCTTTCAATTAAATATAAATTCTAAAAATGACCTATGATGTCATATATGAAGGTTATATATCTTTATATAACTTTCAAAAACTAGCATAATCTGATGATATCTTTAAGCAAGCTAATGACTGGGAAGGGAATAAAGAGGGCTTCTGAGATTTATTATTGGGATGAGTTCACTTGGTAAAAGTTAATTGAGCTGTCACTTATAATTTGTGCCCTTGTATATATGTATGCTATACTACAATAAAAATGTACACTCATTAAAAATGTATTCAGATTCACCTATAGTGTTTTTGAGTGGCTCTGTTTGTACGTATACAGATTTTTTAGTGGCTGCTTTGGGTATTACATTGTATCTACATAACTTATCATAGTCTATTGGTATGGACATTTTATCATTGAGTGAACTGCAGACCTTATTTCCATTTAGGTCCCTTTACTTCTTGATTTCTGATATAATTGTCTTAAACATTTTCTATACATACATTAAGAACCATATCAATGTTGGTTATTGCTTCAACTATCAAATATAATTTTAAAAAACTCAGGAGGAAAAAGATACTGTCCTATAGTTTTAGACTTCACATTGTTCTTCCTTTATTCCTGGTGTTACACGTTGGTTTCTGTCATTTCTTTTTTGTTTGAAAAACTTCCATTAGCCACACATTTAGGATCGATATGCTGGCATCACATTTTCTTATTTTTCTTTCATATGAAACTATCTTTGTTTTACCTTCATTTCTGAAGGACATTTTCACTGGATACACAATTCTGGGCTGACACTTCTTCTCATTTAGCCCTTGAAAGCTGTGGTGACACTTTGTCCTGGCCTTCTTGGTTTCTGACAAGAAATTTGCTGTCATTCAAATGATAGTTCCCCTATAAGGGATGTGTCAGTTTTCTCCACTTTTAAGGTTTGCTTTCAAAATTTTCTTCTTTGAGATTTTTTTTTCTTTTTCTTTAGCTTTCAGATGTTTGATGATGATGTTTCTTAGTGTGGATTTATTTGGGATTATCCTGTTTGAGTTTCACTCATCTGCTTGAATTTGTAGGTTACTTTCACCAAATTTGGGTAGTTCTTAGCCATTATTTCTACTTGTTTCAGTGCCACACCCTTTCTCCTGTCCTTCTGGGACTCAGTTGACACGAATACTAGCACTTTTGTTGTCCCACAGGTTATTGAGGCTCTGTTTTTTTCCCCAGTCTGTTTTCTCTGTTGGAATAATTTTTATTGATCTATTTTTGAGCAGGAACTTGTTTCTCAGAGTTTTTTAGGCTGGGGATTTATTTCTCATAGATTTGAGGCCAAGATCAAGACACCAACAGGTTTGATTATTTGGTGAGGGCTGCTTTCTGCGCCTAAGACAGTGCCTGTTCCTGTATTCTTGGGACGGGTAGAATAGTGGAAAGTGGAGGGATATTGATTATTTACTCTGTCATCTTCATTCTGTTATTGTGCCTATCTAATAAATTTTTTATTTTCCAGTTCTAAAATTTAACTTTATAATAGGTTATTATATTTTTATTTCTAAAATTTCCACTTGATTCTTTTTATATCTTCTGTTTATTTGCCAATATTTTCTATTTTCTTACTGTTTCAAGCATGTTCGTAATTTCTTATTGATGCATTTTAATAATGGCTTCTCTAAAATCTCTAACAGATAAGGCCGGGCATGGTGGCCGTGGCTCATATCTGTAATCCCAGCACTTTGGGAGGTTGAGGCGGGCAGATCACTTGAGGCCAGGAATTCAAGACCAGCTGGTCAACAGGGCGGAACCCCGTCTCTACTAAAACAAAAACAAAACAAAAATTAGCCAGGTATGGTGGTGCACACCTATAGTCCCAGCTACTCAGGAGGCTGAGGCACAAGAATTGATTGAACCCTGGAGGCAGAAGTTGCAGTGAGCTGAGACTGGGCCACTGCACTTCAGTCGGGGTGACAGAATGAGACTGTCTCAAAATAACAAAAACCCCTAACATAATCTCAAAATCTGTGTCATTTCACTGTTGGCATCTGTCAAATGCTTCTTCTATCATTCAAGTTGAGATTTTTTTTCTGGTTCTTCCTATGATGAGTAATTTTTATTGTGTGCATTATGCATTTTGGGCATTATGCTATGAGACTCCAGATCTTGTTTAAATTTTCTATTATAGCAGACTTCTGCTAATACCACACTAGTGAGGTGAGGGAGAGTTTAGCACCTTCTGAGTAAGTCCATGTGGACTTTTTACTGCGGTGGAAGTCCAGGATGTTTGTTCATTTTTCCCCATGGTGTTTGGTTGAAGTAGGGCAAATATTGTCAGAAAGGTTTCTGTTTTACCAGACCACCCCTTTCTTGGTCTTTTGGCAAAAGCAAGACAATTTTCTTGGTGCTATTTATTTTTTTGTCTGCACCTGCCAGAATCTTGGTTGCAGATTTTCTAGTGCTCAATTTGGGAAACATAGGAGGCAAAAAGAAAACCCAGGAAAGGACTGACCATTGTCAGTCCTTCAGTTCTGAGGACTCTGGCTAGTCTGTCTTGTCCTCTCCACCTTTCAAAATCTTCTTATGTTTGTTATATATATTATGCCCAGAGATTTTAGTTCTCATTCCCTGGAGTAATAGTAAGAAATACAAATACTTCATTTTGTGCAGAACTGAAAGTCTGAGTTTCATTTGTTAAAAAAATGTAAAAGTAATGCAGTGGTTGGACTCCTGGATCTTTAAGACTGCTACCTCCATAAATTTTTTGATCTCCATAAATTACTGATGTAAAATGATGAATAGTAGTGATCCTAAATGGAAGAGTGGAGGAGGGATAACTTTTATTTTTTTTTAATACCAGCAGTGATTGAGTAAGAAGAGCACCTTGGCTTTTTGATGTAGCAGGAGTTTTTCTTGAGTAAATCAGTAAATTACCATTTAACTAGAGCTGGTAAAATTGGGATATGAAACCTAAGCTGGAAAGTCCCTGGCCAGGTTGATGTTCTACATCTCTTTTGAGGGCTATGCAATTAATATATCCCTTGGAGCAACTGTGGCTTCTTCCTTGTTAATTGGAAAGCCCTTGTTTTCCATGACTTCTCTCTGGTGCTGAGGTTTTACATCTCGTATATTTATGCTGCATCTTCCTAAGTTAGGAAAGCTCCCTCAAGAGAGCAGGAAACAACCTGAGAAAGCTGATTGAAATAAAAAAAAAAAAAAACAGAGAGAGCGAGCAGGAAACAGCTCCCCTGCTTCCTCCTCTCCCTATGGATACCTACTAAAGTGGTCTTGCTCGCCCTAGATGAGAGGTCTGTAAACATCTGATATGCTTATTATTTCTCTGGTTAGTCTGGGTAGCATAAGCTGGTGCTCCTAACGTGCAGCCATCCAGCTTTCAGACCTTGCAGAATTGGCTCTGGACTATAAGAGACAGCATCTCTCCAGGGCAGCATGTCTTTAAAAAGCAGAGTTCAGTAAGGACACCCACAGTGGTTACCCAATCCACAGGGAGGTGTTTATTGAAGTCTTTACTCAGGATCTTTATGTTTTGGGATCACGCCATGATTTTAAGCCGTACGCTAGGATCTTCACATGTTTGACCGTGGTTTGCCAGCCATTCCTTCCTCTCCTGGTGACTCCCATCTCTCCACTCACCCTCCTACCAATACAGTCCGTGTATTTGTAGAATGAATGTAAGTGTGAATGAGCGAATGCAGGAAAGGAGGAAAATGGAATGGAATGGATGAACTTGAACACTAAAAAACACTCTTGGAGACCCAAATTCTCATGATTAAGCAAATTTATTGAGCGAGGCACTGGGGTTGGGAGGTAGTTGTGCAGAAACCAAAGAGGCAAAACTCAGAACAAGATGCCGCGGTTTTGAACAAGAGCTCAAAGGCTTCTTCCAGGTAGGTTAAGGCGTGAAGAATCTGCAAACCTTTGACAATATCATGAGAGCCCTAAGCCCATCGGCGCCCACAGAGAACACCTCCAACTCCTTCGCCTCTGTGGCACCCTGGGGGACCTATTTGCATGGCCAGGTAGGCGCCTGCTTTTGCTGGGTCTGGTGGCAGACCGGGACGCCCTTGCCACTCCCGGAGCCACCCCCAGAGGAGCCACCCCCAGAGGAGCCACCGCCACAGATGGAGCCGCCGCCGCCCCCGGAGGAGCCACCTCCGCAGCCGGAGCCCCCGCCGCTGATGACGCAGCCCCCGGAGGAGCCGCCGCCGCAGCCAGAGCCCCCGCCGCCCCCGCCGCTGGAGAAGCAGCTGCCGCCGCCGCCGCCGCCGCCGCCGCCGGACGACCCCGCTCCGTAGCTCTGCTGGGGCGCGCACGAGGTCTGGGTGACCTGCTGCGAGGAGACGTAGCCGGAGCCGCCGCCGCCAGAGGATCCCCCGCCGCAGCTGGAGCCGCCGCCGCCGCCTCCGCTGGAGAAGCAGCCGGAGCCGCCCCCGGAGGAGCCGCCGCTGGAGACGCCTCCGTAGCTCTGGCACTGGACCGCCTGGCCCGAGGAGCCGCCGCTGCTGCCGCCGGAGGAGAAGCAGCCGGAGCCGCCCCCGGAGGAGCCGCCGCCGCCGGAGGAGAAGCAGCCGGAGCCGCCCCCGGAGGAGCCGCCGCTGGAGACGCCTCCGTAGCTCTGGCACTGGACCGCCTGGCCCGAGGAGCCGCCGCTGCTGCCGCCGGAGGAGAAGCAGCCGGAGCCGCCCCCGGAGGAGCCGCCGCCGCCGGAGGAGAAGCAGCCGGAGCCACCCCCGGAGGAACCACCGCCCCCGGAGTACTTGACGCTCCCACCGGAGCCCCCGCCGCAGCCTCCGAAGCCGCCGCCGCCACCGGAGGAGCCCCCGCCGCAGCCGGAGCCGCCGCCGCCGCCAGAGGAGAAGCAGCCGGAGCCGCCCCCAGAGGAGCCGCCGCCCCCGGAGTACTTGACGCTCCCACCGGAGCCCCCGCCGCAGCCTCCGAAGCCGCCGCCGCCACCGGAGGAGCCCCCGCCGCAGCCGGAGCCGCCGCCGCCAGAGTAGCCACAGCCAGAACCGCCGCTGCCCCCGCTGGAGCCGCCGCCGCTAAAGAAGCCGCAGCCGCCACCGCCGCCGCCGCCACCGCCGCCGCCTCCGCCGCCGGAGGTCTTTACGCAGCCCACTGGGGGCTGGGGGGTGGGCTGCTTTTTCTGATAAGACATCTTGGCTAGGAAGGAAGGGGAGCCTGGAAGGAGAGAAGAGAGCATCGCTGGACCAGCTGCAAGGGGATGCTTACGGAGGCAGCTGCATCCATGGCAACATCGCCATCCTCCCAGCGCCCGCCTGGGCCAGGTCCACAGCTCCTTCAGGTGCCCGGAGAGCCCCCAGCTGGGATTCCCACGATTCCTGCTTTTGGAAGCGGTTGAGTTCCTCCTTCCCCCGCAGAAAGGCTTCACTAAGCTTTAAACAGTTCAGATAGCGGTGCCCATTCTTTCTTCCAGCTCTGACTCTGGCCAATGTTGGGTGATTTGAGGGCGGATAGCTCCCAATCCCACGTGTTTCTCATCTCCTCTTAATGGAAGGGTTTGAACACTTCATCTTTCAGGCCTCCTCCAATCCCTGATTCTGATTCTCTGAGTGCAAATAGAAAACTACCACAAACCTTTATCTGGCATGGGGGATTTTACCTATTGCCGGCACAACAGAGGGAGATTTGTTGGACTCCATTCTGCTGAGGGCTGTTGCACTCTATCCTCTGCAAAAGCCCTTAGTTCAAACTCTTGGTCTGTCCCACTAAGCGAGGCCGTGATTCAAGGGCTAGTTATTAGAAAAGACAGGCTCTGCTGTGGCCCTGCCTGCAAACAGGGGAAGGACCCTGGTGGTCCTTTGGACCAATATTCCCGACCAGAAGCTAATAGCTGTCTCTTCCATGATTTTCTCAAGTCCGAGCTTGGTAGCAGCGACTCTGAATTGTAAGAAGTTGTATTTCCCTCTCATAACTTCCGACTCTGTAAAGCAGGAATTGGGTTTCTGTGGCACCTCAAATCCCTCCCATCTGCAACTTCCTTGGAATCATTCTCCCTACTCTCTTGAGAGTGGGCTCAGCCTCTCCTCCTGACAGGTTCACAAGGTCCGCTCAGCCCTTGCACAGGCTGCCTTGGGGACAGCCTCTGCAGAGTCCTGTGCCCGGCACCATGCCTGCCCCGATGGGGGTGCCATAGAGGCAGGAGATAGTCTTGTCTTTGTGGAGTTTACATTCTGGCCAGAAGACCAGAAACACCATCTGCATGGCAGCAGCTACTCCCCCACTCCTTTCCTGACCCCCTTCTAAATGTGAGCACTGTTGGGAAGGCAGAGGTTCCTCTAATCTAGTTAGACCTGGGCAAGACCAGCTGGGAAGATGAGAGTCAGTAGAACCCACACTTACCCAAAGCACCAGGAAGGGTGAGTGAGGAGAGAAGATGCTGGCAATGTGAGGAGCATAGAGCTCCTGAGGTTATATACCTTATGCCTCAAACCCTGACTCATCCGTTGATCCAGGCCAGCTGCTTGTTTTTGGCCTCAGTTACGTGACCCATGGCTGTCAGCCCCACCTCCCTGTGATTGCAGGCACAGACAGGGTGGCCTGTTCATGAAGGTTTTGGCATTCTCGAGATGGGCAGCCTGGTGTGTGACTGGCCCCTTCTCTGATGCAACAGTGTGGCAGGCTCATCAGTGGGGTCAGCCCATCAGAGTGGATGGCAGACATTGTTTCTGAAACCTCTGGCACAGGATGCATACCAGGTGACCACAGGGCCGTGCTTGAGGAGTAGGTCCCAGAGTCTTGAGGTGCCCTAAGATAGTCAAACTGGAGGTCTCTGTTCTCTGTCCAAGGAGTAGGACCTTGGAAATCCTACTGTTTGGTTTCTGGTCCTGCTACTCAAAAAGCCTCAAAACTTTAGAACCCTTTCCTCCTTTGCAAAAGTTTCTCTCCCAGGATTTCATGTGTGAATTGCTGGGGTGCTTCTGTCCTGCCCACCGGAGGCATGAGCCCGCAGCACCCAGCTCTGGACTGCACACCTTGGACAGTGCTGTAACTAATGTGACATGGGAAGCTACTGATTCGTCCCCGGAGACAGCAGACATTTGAGAAAGTCTGAGAAAGATAATCAATACCGACTTTCCTTGCAGCAGAACAAACTGAAGAGAGGGACCCTGTGATCCGACAATAGCTCTGTTGTCCTCCGGTGTTGTGTTGCAAAACACTGATCTCAGCCTGAGGGGCAGTCATCAAATGGAATAGACTTGAGATTAGGTGACGGGTTGGGTGCTCCCTTTGCTACTTGCCAGCTGCGTCACCTTGGGCAGAGGCATAGCTCTTAGTGCAATGTCTGCACATGGGAGGCACTCAGTAAGTAATCATTGACTGTGGAATGATCAAGCTTTCTGACCCTCAGTTTCCTTGTCTATCGAATAGAAATCGTGATACCTATTTCACAGGCATGTGAAGAGGGAATAGTTAAGTGGAGAAGGTGATGCTATCTTTTTTGTTGTGTTCTCCTATAACAGCACACCCTTACTTCCAGCCTGGCCTTCCCTTGGACACCAAGGCCAGAAAGAAGTCCATGGAGGGATTGGGCAAGTCCAATTCTTCTCCTTGGAGAATAGCTCAGAACTTCCCTGTGGACTCTGGACCAGTAGCATCAGCTCTGTGCACGCAGAACAGCATGCCTCTCCTTCTTTCATCACCGGAAGTCAATTGGTATTGTTGAAGATACCACAGTCGAACTTTGCTCTGCCCAGTTCTGTTTTGAAATGACAGCTCCAATAATAAATTGTTAATTATAGTGCACTTTTAATGATCCAAATGATCCTGATTAGACTGGGGACTTCAGAAACTTGTGGCACTGGTTTCAGTTTGGGCAGCACAAACCCAGGTGAACCCGAGAGGAACTCAGGCGCTCTCCTCCTCAGAGAAAAGCCGGTAGGGAGAAGACAGGTTCTGTTGGAGAAGGCAAGTTTCTCTGCCTGAAGTTGAGGCAGTGTGGAGAATTTGGAGGGAAACAGGCCCAGATTAGTGATTGCTATGGGTATAAAAAAGAACAGTTTTATTTCACTGGGCCATATTGGAAAAAGGAGCACACGTGGACCACGGTTCCTAGCACTGATCTCGGGCCCTCATTGGCCCATTGCTATGTATTCAAGTAAAAGGATGTCAGCAGGGTATTCTTAAGAAAGAAAGTCTTCAATTCTGAAATCATGGCCTTCCTACCTCTTCCTTTAAAAGCTGTGGTGACATGGCGACACGAGGCTGTAGTTGTTTCTTTTATGTCCTTACATGTCAAAATGAAAATTTTGCAATGATGTAACAGTTACCACTCTTTTTTTTTTTGAGGGAGATATTGCTTCTCTGTAGAATTCTAAAATTTGGAAACTGGGCTGAGTGCGGTGGCTCATGCCTGTAATTCTACCACTTTGGGAGGCCAAGGTGGGAGGATTGCTTGAGCCCAGGAGCTTGAGACCAGCCTGCACAACACAGCAAGACTCTGTCTTTACAAAAAATACAAAAATTAATGAGGTGTGGTATCATGCCCCTGTAGTCCCAGCTACTCTGGAGGCTGAGTTGGGAGTATCACTTGAGCCCAAGAGTTTGAGACCAGCCTGGGTAACATAGTGGGACCTCATCTCTACAAAAAAATAAACAAAATTAGTTGCATGTAGTGGCATGTGCCTGTAGTCCCAACTACTCAGGAGGGTGAGGTGGGAAGATCACTTGTGCATGGGAGGTCAAGGCAGCAGTGGGCCAAGATTGCACCACTGCCCTTGTGACAGAATGAGACCCTGTCTCAAGAAACAAAACGGGGAACCTCAAGTACAGTTGATCCCCCTAAAATGACTAATCTTCACATTGTCTATGTTGACTTTGGGGTTCATTTTCTTTTAAGAATATAGGGTATTTTTTTTCTATTAGATTTAAGATGTTAATTCTTTATTTGTTAATCCAGCCAAGACAAAGGTACTGGGCACCATGCTAAGCATCACAGAGCCAGAAGCCTTTCCAAAGCTATGCATGGATCTTCTTGGTAGAGTTGGGGGTGAGCCTGGTACACCATGCCTGCCTCTGCCACCTTATATGGCATGTAATGAGAAAAAACTTCTAACTAGTACAACTATTTAGTTAACATGCAGAAGAGGCTGATGTGACATGATGCTGAGTACCAGATCTTGTGGCTTTCAGCCCTGAGTTAACCTTGCCTGATGTATGCATATATGAGCCTGGTTTTCCTATCTTATCTTTCTGGACCAGAAGCAGTAGTCCAAATGGGATATCTGTGTGGACAGCAACTGATTATCACCTTTGATCGTATCAGTGAGGAAATAATGGGATTTTGTAGAATTGTAAAATAACACGTAGGTATTTGGGGTCAGATTTTTAAGGTTTATAGCCTTTAGACGCTTAACCCTGAAAGTGTGCTTGATAGAACATTTGACATCTGCAGTTTGACAGATGAGGACACGGTTCTTGCCTATACTTGTATCCTTAGAGGGGATGGTCCTTAAAGCAATGCTACACAGTGTCTGGCATGGTGCTGGGCATTGATAGGTACTTAGGAAATCCCAGTGGAATTGAAGGCGCTCTTGAGACCTACTGACTGACTGTGGCTGAGATTTGATCTTGTCAGATGATTAGGAGTGGAGGGTTTCAGCTTGGAACTACAGATTAAATTTAGCTGCTATGCAGAATGAACAAGCCTCCTGCAGCATTCCAGGACCAGCTGCAGAAGTGACACCGGGCTAGTGGAATTTTCATTTCAGCCTGCTTCGCTGACCATCACGACAATATCAGTCTGGTGGGCACGCTCCACATAGGAAGTGTGTGTGTGTGTGTGTGTGTGTGTGTGTGTGAAGGGTGGTGATCCTTCAGAAAGATGTGGCAGTCTAGGGTGTTAAGGACACATTGGGGCTTATCCACAGTCACGGATGCATTCTTTAGAGAAAACCCAGCTTCGGATTCATAAATCGCAAGAAAGTTGGAGACTTATTCTTTCCGCTTCTCAGCTTAGCTTATCTTTTCGGGAGGTGCACATCTTCCTGTTACAGGCATTTTCAGAGCAAGAGAGAAGGAGGTAGAGAAGACAGTGTGAGGACGGCCCAGATGCTGATGCACAGCCTGGCCATCTTCACAAGCTATGTTGGGGGTATTTAAGAAAGAGCAGCGGAGAACAACTCTGAGCAGGTTGCTTCTCTGAGTGGAGGCACCTGGCTCCTGGGCCCCAGTCTGAGATTTCAGCTCTTGAGTTTGGGGACCCCCAGCTGAATGGAAGTGTGCTCATTACAGCCTTGAAGTATCCAGAGCTATGCATGTGCATTCCCGTGACTGAGTGGTGACTACTTATGTAACAGGTTAAAGGGGCAGCAGGCAGCTGTAAAGAATAAAATGGACACAGGGCAAGGGCTAGGGAGCTTGGCAGGATAGGAGTAGGGCTTGGAAGCCCTTTGCACTCTTGACTTGGAATGGGATCGGTTTTCTCTCACAGTGCTGGCCCAGGAAGTGTCACAGAGCTCCGGGTACCTCCTGGGCTGCCATTTTCTTCCTTTCTACAGTTCTTCTGGGCCAACAGTTTGAAGGGGTGGCTGGTCCTCCGTCTTACATGGGGAGTGCTGCTTAGAGGGCTAGGGGGAGGGACAGCTCTACAGTGGTTCGTGGCTACTGGTGTTCCCTCTCCAGTAAGCTTCCCCGGATTCATCCCACCCACTGGTTCCTTCTCCTTCACCACTTTCCCTTTCCAAGGCCTTAAGGAGCGATTGTACTAGTTACAGTCTGTTAATGACACATCAGTTTGACTTGTCCCTTTTTTCAAGCTCGAATTGTCCTTGAAGGAAGGCTCCCCATTAGTTCTTAACTCTGCATCCTAGGATTTAAAGAGCCTTTATAGCCCCCTGGGGTGTCATCAGGCACTGCTGACTCTTAGTGGGTCCTCTTCTGTGTGTTCCTGGAGCTCATTTTGCTGAGGGTGACCGCAGATGAGTTGTTCAGTCCTTTCCAAAAAGCTTATAGATGCACACAGGGTTAGCAGTGCAACCAGGGACCAGGCTTGCCTGGGGTCGGACCCTTCCCCTGTGGACAGACTCTTCAGTTTATAGACCACTGTCACATACGTTCAATCCTCACAACAGTTTTGTGTGCCCAGTAACGTTCCGCAGTTCAGGGTGAGTTAGCAGCTTAGAAGATTTGCCCACATTCCACAGCCTTTAAGTGGAAAAGCCAAGATTCTCAGTTCTTTTGATTCTAAATCGCATGTTCTTTCCAAGCACCACACGCCTCTCCTCTTTGGGTCAAAAGGAACCAAATGAAGGGATGACTCCTCAGCTAGGCTGGTTTGTGGCCTTTGGGAGGCAGGGAGCAGAAGATGCTTTCCTGAATGCTCCTGGCTCCTTAGGGATAAATTTACGCATTTACAAAGTATGAGAGCTGGAAGGACATGTAGAGACCTTCCTATCATCTCTCTCCTTTGTAGAGATAGGCAAAGAACCCAAGGCCCGGGCCTGG